CGGACTTTATTGTAGCAAATACCGAAACTCAAATCTCATCAGCCACCAGAAGTATGGTAAATGCTACTAGATGTCCGGTAATTTTTGCCTTAAAGTATCACTGTGTTAAAAATCAAGTGGACTCATGATAGAATTAATCATGCTTTTGGTAAAATTTGTCATACTTTTTTCAGTGTTATGACTTCTTCCTTAGAGAGACCTTGGCTCGTTAAACTGAAGCGTGGACTCCTAGTAAAAAGTTTCTCGCATTACAAAATTCCCTAATTTTTACCTGACTTTTGTTTTTTTCTTTCATGCGTGGTTTTTCGTAAAATTATTCATATTTACGAACAAATTTTAACAAAAAGTCTCTTAAAATCCAACAAATCCAAGATTCCAAAAAAAAAAAAAAAAAAAAAAAAAAAAAAAAAAAAAAAAATTCCTGACTAATCCTGATTCTCTCCGACTTTTCAAGAACTTATCAACCTATGATCACTGATCAACGATAGAAAGAGAAAAAAACGAAGGCTGAAGCGACTAGCCGAGTGGGAAGTGACATAAAACCCGGGTGAGAACTTGTAACAGCGCGCTGCTTAGCATCTTCCACGCTGGAGCACCTGCAGACCAGAGCGCGGCTCGCAGCTTCAGCTTCACACTCGGCGCGGCGCGGCGCTGTGACCCAATTTGAAATCAATTTCAGGAGCTAATTGCCGCTGAATGAATATTTAATATGTGTTCAGTATACATTATCCGCTATTTTCACTTAGCGGCGCCACGTGAGGCAAAAATATTAACGAGCCGTCTCGGTTGATTCGTTTACACCACGTGCTAACAAAGTTTGGAGACGCGGCGAAGCGTTTAGTCGAAAGCATCCCTAATTCCAGGGGGACTCGATCCCTCCTGGCCGCTACGCGGTTCAACCCCCGACGCGACGGTCGCTGAGTGCTTTTAAAAAGCCGCGCTGCGGCAACAGATACTACTTATTTTAGAGACCTTTCACTGCTACTTTCCTGACGGTGTAACAGTTACTTTCGGAGGTTAGCGGTCAGCGGGCCGATTATTAAAATTTATAGACAAAGCTATAGACAAAAAGACATAGGGAGTATGAAGCCATCCTATTGGTTGAACTGGGTGGTTACTATAGACTAAGGGAGAAAATGATTGACTAACCATCGCGTCCCTCGTGAGTTGCCGTTACTTAGTCTATTACCTACTCTTCTTGTCCATTGCAACCAACCACCAACCACCAACTTCCACCAATAGGATTTCTCCATATACCTTTTGTCTGCTTTGTCTATGGCTTTGTCTACCGATTTCAATAATCATTCCGCAGATTCGCCTCACGATGACCCATGACCTAACAGCGGGCTGATTATTGAAAATTATAAACAAAACAATGGACAAAGAGGACATAAGTAGTACAAAGCGATTCTATTGGTTGAAATGGGTGGTTCTTATCGACTAAGGAAGAAAATGATGGACTAACTGAAAGGTCTCTCGTGAGTTGCTGTTAGTTAGTCTAATACCTGCCTACTTTGTCTATCGCAATCACTCGCTTCCACCGATAGGATCCCTTCATATCCTTTTTGTCTTTTTTGTCTATCCCTTTGTCTATTAATTTCAACAATCAGCCAGCAGTTGAGCGGTAGATTTGGTAAACCTGACCTGATGGGGAAAAAATTACCTGGCGAAATGCTGTTCAAATTTTTCGTAGATTAACATTCGGAGGATACATTGTTGAAAATGTAGGAGTGAAAGGTGTAAGATTCTATTAAGCGCTCAAAAGCTTCAAGGAATATGAATGCGAAGTGAAATTAGCATTATAAAAGCGTTTGGCATTCATTAAAAAGAGTAGATTCCGCTCCGTGACATAATACAAGAAACTCCGTGAGGGGCAGAATTCCGTTCCGCATTCTTAGCACTCGGAGTTTTTGGGCGCTATATAGATTTCGGCGCAACATTTCACACCAAAATGGACCACTCGATAAGGTACGAATTTCAGCATTCTGATACATGTTTCTTAACCAAAATTTTACGTAAAACACGATGCACACAACGAAAATTACCGAAATTAACTCCTTACGAAGATATTTAATGATTCTTAATGCGTGAATTCAAACCACCCGCTCATGAAAACTCAATGCTCTACGTGATTCACATCGCGCGCTAAACGTTATCATGACAGTCTCTGCGATATAAAAATCTGGCAACCTCGATCAATCTTGACACTTTGGCTCAGCTATAGCAAATTGCTTATAGTTTGAACAACACACGATGGGAAATGAACATTGCTCGATTGAGAAGCTTGCTGAAACCGTTGTAGTGGGCGATTTGACTCACGTAGAGTTTTGAGTTTCTTGTGAGCGGGCAGTTCAAATTCCTCGTAACCAATGTGAAATAAAAACGTTAATATCTTCGTTAGGAGTTGGTTTCCGTAATTTTCGTTGTGTGAATCGTTTTCTACGTGAAATTCTGGTTAAGAAACATGTATCAGATCGCTTAAATTCGTACCTTGTCTAGTGGTCCATTATGTACTTTTAGCTGTCACTCTCCCCATGATTTTATAGTTTAGCAGGAAGATACACCATTCAACCGTATCATGACGTGTGGGATAATTATTGGATTGCGTTTAGCAGAAAGGTACCAAGCCACATCAGCTATTGCCAAATTTAACTGGGCAATTCAATTTTTTAAAAGAGAACGTTCGTGCAGATTCCTTTAATAATTTTAAGGAATGCACTTCGAACTATGCAGAAAATCCACTAAAATCTGTACAAAAATTCACACAACTGTTTGCATATAAAAAATTAGATGCAAAAATTTCGGCACTAACTGATGTGACTTGGTTCCTTTCTGCTCAACGCGGTCCAATTCCACAAGTGTTGTGGAGGGTGCTCTATATCTCTTTTTCACAGCTCCAGCACTGCAGTGGAAAGAGGATGATTTAAAGTTACATTCACAGTCTGTCATCGTTACTCAGATAATGAATTCAATTCCGGCATATTGATCTCAAATAAGAGTCGCTCTCATCACGTTGTAAATGCTTGAAAAGTATTACAGATTGAAAGTCCTTCGTTCAACAATATGGTATTCGCGGGGCGCTTATCCTCCCAGTAGTAGTCTTCAAAGAGCAAACACATCAGGAGCCAGTCATTCCAGTAGCCATTTGAGCTTTTGAGCTACTCTGCCGTGGTAAGAAGGAACGCCGTATGATATGAACACTCGAGAGTTGCCAAATTTCCCCGAATAAAACATCTATGTTTAGAGGAAGTTATGCGTATTTTTCCTTGAAAGTTTCCGATATTTTACATTAAGTTGGGATCAAAATAAAAATAATCGAAAAAAAATAAAAATAATCGGAATAAATCAAAAATATTCGGAATTTTTGCAGTAAATTCTTTGTTTATAAAAGGAATAATGGCAACGCCTGAAGGCTCATACGGCGTTTTTCCCTATAAGCACGAGTACTTGTGAAATACTCCTCCTTGAGGAAATGCAGTGGTCTTCAGCACGACCGAAGCACGGAAAAATCCGATCCGATGCTCATGCAAACTGTGCACAGGAAACTTGTATTACTTTAAGGGAGGTCACGAGTAAATGAAAGACGATAGGCCACCGTAAAAACTGGAGGAAACCGCGGGACTATAAACCAACTCATCACGCAAATCATTAAAAGGCACTTGGTGTAAGAAGGATATTTACGGTCAGACGTCATCAGAATATATTTCATGCACACGTGCATAAAAGATCATCAACATTTACTTGTTTTCTCTCAAAATCGCTGAGCATAGTCGTATTTTGATCTCCATTAATGCTGCACACAAAGTTACCACTTATCCGTGTGCAAGGGCTCAATTCCATTAGTTTTTTCCCCGCGACAGTTGGTGTGATACAAGCGAGCAATAGAATATAGACGTTAGAATTCATGGTGTTTTTTATTAGATTGATGAAAAATATGTAAAGAAAGGGATGCTTTGAGGAAATAAACATTTCTTTCCTCGTAAAATATTACTCACTGGCTGAATCAAATTCCAATTTAATTGTTTTTTTTCATGAGTCAATCTAAAAACTTTGAAAAAACTTAAAAGTCAGACACTACTAACACTCTTGTAAATTTTCAGCAAGGTTGCTTTTAAAAGAATTTTATATCAATATTATCAAAAAGGGGAAGGCATTTTTTGGGAGAATATGGAGATGTAAAGGGCCAAACGATTTTTTTGCTGACAAAAACCCAACTACACGGAGAAAAAAACCTCGTGCGTGGGACCCGAAGTTTAGGTCATATGGATCTCTGAAGTTTTCAGATTGAGCATCTGAACACTTAGGATCTAGTTGTCGAGGTTCGGATCACATATCTGAAACTTTAGTTCTTACATCTGAAGTACTTCAGATGTGAGAACCGAAGTTTTGCGGATGTGAGAACCGAAGTTCTTCGGATGTGAAAACCGAAGCACTTCAGACGTAAGAACTGAAGTTTCAAATGTGTGATCCAAATCTCAGCAGCTGGACCTTAAGTGTTCGGATGCTCGATCCGAAAACTTCAGAGATCCATATGACCTAAACTTCGGGTCCCACGCACGAAGTTTTCTTCACCGTGTATCAATGGCGATTTCCGTATGTTGGTAACATATATGCTCCTCAATTAAATGCATTATATATTATCGATTCGAGGTGCTGCAGCCATCAAGAAAAATCGATTGTTTCACATGCATTTAAATAGACAAACCTAGATGAAAATCAATTGGTACTGGATGGACTCCAGGGTTGCGACTTTTAAGAATCGTCACTGCAAAGTAGGAATGTCTTTTCTTTCTTGAGAATCTCTTGGATTTTCTAGGAAACGTTCAACGTTAAGGGAAAATCTGAATCCTCTCAGGAGTGCGGAACAATTAGAGACACGAAGGGGTGCACTTGGCAAGGATAAGCAGTAAAGAAAGAGCAGAGACATTTCGTTGAGAGGAACGATGAAAACGGCGATAAATAAGTTAGAAGCTAGCTTGGAATTTAATTCTGGAACTTACTTTTTAGACTGCCGGCCAGAGCAAGAAACAGCTGCGATATCAAATTTGTAGCTTTTCCGCTTTTCGCAATTAAGAGCCTTCCGCGCTCTCAATTCCGCTTCTCCGTCTTTTTTCAAAATTATCTGCCAACAAAGGAAAACGTGAAAATGAGACTGAATATACTTAGTAAAGCTTTTAGGTTCAACAATGAGACTTGCTTCAGGTACGTTAATACACTCTACCCTTGACCGGGGCTTGTGGGCGAGAGAAAAGTAATATTCTTCACTACACTGTCATGACTCCATTCTGGCGACAAGAGAGTAGTCACCTTTCCATACTTACCTGATTTTGTAAGACTAATTGGATTGTATTTTGCAAACAGGAACCAGAAGCATTGCAATGATGCTAAGATTGTTCATTTTCATTCTTCGCAATAAAATTACTGAAATCATGAAAAAATATGAAATTTACATGGTAATTTGTGTCTTCAATTGACAGTTTTTAGCGAGTGAGATAGAAACTGTCGATGGATAATCAGGTTTTTCTCCCAAGACAAAAGAAGTTGCACAATCTTTGCAACATTGCAATGCTCCTGGTTCCTTTTTGCAAATTGCAATCCAATTACTAATACTTTTCCTTCCTGAGAAAAATTAAAAAACTTCTTCCTAAAACTTCGGCAATTTTTGCTCTCTGAATAAAGAACGTTCTGTAAAAATGTTATTTTTTCACTTGTATCCTTTTGCTTTGACGGAACAAAACAAAAAAATATATTCTGAAACGCTACGATAAAGATGTACTTTTTGAGGTTACCTATTGATACACGCGACTGTTTTGAACACCTTCACTTCCGGTCAGTTTACCTGTATGAGGTGGACTAGTTTCACGGGAGCAGTATGGTGCAACTAGCCTCAACGAACAATTTCTAAGAGTGACAGGTAGAACATGCACACGTTAAGTAAAAAAGCTCTTTAATATTCTATTTCTTCAGCTTGGTATAAAAGTATCCTCTGCGATACTGAATAGCCAGAGACAAGAGACCCTCCACTAGTATCTTGGCCATGGTGGAAGCTTTTACTTTCGGGACTTCAGCATTCTACTGTTGACTTACCTACATGGTTGATGTTCAACAACGTGTTGGCAGTTTCGTTTTGCAAACAAGCCGAAAATGGCCGACGTTTGGGAAAGTTGTTTGGCTCATGACGTCATCCGAAGCTCATCATCGACCATGTAGGTAAGTCAACAGCCGAAAATAGGGTGATGACTGTTGCTCGCTAATAATTGTCCATAAGGAATTGTTGAAACCCCGAAAGTAAAAGCTTCCACCTGTCGCTAGGAGGCCAGTGGAGGGTCTCTTGTCTCTGTGAATAGCGCACCGGTCAAATATCATTTTCAAAAAGGTAACCGATACGCAGTGGCGAGGCGTGAATGATCGTTTATCCATATTCTCCCATTTGAAGCTATGATCAAGAATCGATATTTGGACCGCATTAAGCAGAAAGGAACCAAGTCCCATCAGCTATATTGCAAAATTTAATTGGGCAATTGGATATCTTACATGAAATCTGTTGTGCGGATTTTTGTGAATTTCGGTAAATTTTCTGCACAGTGCGAAGCAAATTCCCTCAAATTTTCAAAAAAATTAAATTGCCCAGTTCAATTTTGCAACAGCTGATGGGACTTGGTTCCTTTCTGCTTAATGCGGTCCAAATATCGCGTTTAATTGAGGTATATAGCAAATTGAAATATAGACATTTTAGGAAGCCTAGTAAGAGTATACTGCAGTCGTCAATAATACACAATTGAAAAGATATTTATCCAATGAGACATCTTTTTAAGCACCAGTTTATCTAAACCGCCGCACAGTGGATCGAGTCAATGGAAGAGGTCGGACAAGATTTGGAAATGTTAAACGCGTATTACTCCGTTTATACAAATTTTTGAGGTTCTGAAAGTGGTTTTATTGGTTTTCTCGTGAGATTTACTTCAAGAAACGCCCTCTGAAGTTTAAAATGCGGCAAAGTAAACATCAAAATTCGCAGTTTTAGTCAAAAATTTTGTGTCCGACCTCTCTAATTGACTCGATCCATTGTGCGCCGGAGGCGACTAATGAAGGACACTAAAAAGCCGGAAAAAATCGTTCTAAATCGTTACCTAACACCTTTCTCGATTCCCCGCACCCCCTCATATCCCTTTAGGGGAGAACCTCGACCACCGTCTGAAACGTTATGTAATGCAAAGATGCTACCAGCCAATCGCGAAGCACCATAATATTTCGATCCGTGTTGGATTTTGCGAGGCGACGGAACAACGAAGTAATCCCAAAGTCGTCAGAGCAGAGAATGGAAAGTTCTAGCCGAGTCAAACCTTTGTCACTGTCAAGTGAGGCGTCACGGATGGTTTTTTCGGAGCCTTAACGCAGGGGTAATTTACCTTCTCGGACTTTTTATGGACCCAATCCTTTCTCGGCGCGGAAGTCGCGGAGCTCAGGTCCCGCACTCGACGGGGAACGCGGAATGGAATTGATTCTGAATTTATTCGTCGCGAAGTTCCCGAGGAGCACGAAACACTGTCAATGCAATGAGCAATCCTCCACTTAAACCGCATAACTCGTGTAAACGCAACAACCATTTACTTGTCAGCTCTCCTTATTCTCCGCTCCAATTGATAAATTGAAAGTTTTCCGCCGTTTCATTCCGATGCGGACCGTGGAGAAAAGGGGAGGAAATTGACCATATCCCAGTGGCGTGGCGTGCTTTGCGATGTATCGATTGATCGCCGTTTAAACCTGTGGAAAAGTATCGATAAACAGGGTGGTCGAAATCAACACCATAATAATCGATTCTTGCTCTTAGCTTCAAATGGGAGAATATGGATAAACGATCATTCACGCTTCGCCTCTGCGTATCGGTTACCTTTTTGAAAATGATATTTGACCGGTGCGCTATTCAGTATCGCAGAAGATACTTTTATACCAAGCTGAAGAAATAGAATATTAAAGAGTTTTTTTACTTAACGTGTGCATGTTCTACCTGTCACTCTTAGAAATTGTTCGTTGAGGCTAGTTGCACTGTACTGCTATACAGTTCAATTTGGCGAGGTTCCTTTACTGCTGAACGCGATATTTCATGTGTATTTTTGGTGGTAGAAGGAGGGGGGCGGCGTGTAGCCTGGGTTAGTTTCTACTGTTGAAAACCTTGAATGAAAATCTGCAATATGTTTGGTCCATATTTTGCAAGAAGGAACTGCAATTTCTAGCTCAGCCATAAAAACACTCATCTTTATAGGGAAACACGTGGCACATCTATCGTTTCTGAAAAGAGCCAGGAATTGTACTTCCTGATTGAAAAAGTTGTGCATTTTATACTCAAGCGTATACAGCTACCAAACAACCCCGAGTGTTATGAATGCGGGGCAAAATGTATTCCTTTTGCGGAATAGGAACTCATTGTCATCAGCTGTTACGGAACAGAATTTTCGCTTTTTGCGGAGTGAATTATTTCCACTTTTGAAGAGCGGACCTCACTCCGTATTTCGCCGCTCCTCTGACATAACGGCGTATCTCACATTCCACGAGAGCCCTGTATCATATACAAATCCATGCTTTCTGGGGCTCATACGGGAATTGAGGTACGCCCTTACGTTAGAGGGACGACAATTTACATCAAAATTGGGTCCATCGATGGTATATTATACACTTTCAATTTCACTCCAATATTTTAAACAGGGATGCCGGATTTTTTAAAGGGTCCACACAGTGTTACGTTTGTAAAAAGGACCGGTGGGTAAGGCGGGGTGTCGAAAAACCGCAGAAGTGTTACGTAATTTACGGATTACTCGCTATGAGGCAAATCTTTTGTTCCGCGGCCGGGAAATCACAAGCTCTCGGACCCGTGGAATGGTCCTGCTTTCCGTAAGTTGGGCAGATTGCTTATATGGCAACAGAAACCCACAACGGGTGCAGATCCTTACTTCCGTTTCCACTCAACAGCTTGCCTGCGTAATTTAATATTAATGGTGGAACCAAGAACCTGCTCCGTGATACTCGAGAACAATTCCATTAGGACTGCGTTGCTGCCGAACTGAGTCCGTTTCACATCTCCTTCACGAATCTAACACAAGAATAAAGGGATGCCATCAAGTAGATAGCTACTGCCTGAAAATGCATTTTTGAATAATAACGTAACGTCTATTCTAATGATACGGTGCAGCCTGGTTTTCCAGAAATTTTTATGTAAATGGATCTCTACTGATGCTTAGCAACATTTACGTTAACTCTTTGGTGATGGCTGCGTGGGCTGCTCTGAGAGAAATCCTTACGAGATGAGGGGTGGTTAAAAGGATAAGAGGATTTACGATATGATCCACCAGTTGTTCAAAATTCATCCCTAAAACAGATGACTGTTAGGGTAAGTTTCAGTCGTAAGAGTCATCAAACGTTTTCCACTTTTGATCAATAGGGTTACTATCACAGATTTTCATTTATTTTTTGCCCCAAATATTTATTTTCTAAAACTCTCATAAACAAATTCGATGTCCTTATATAGAGTGATTTAGGGTTAAAAGGCCAGACTGTAGGAGCCGAAACACTACCAAACCCCTTCTTTAAATTGAGATTTTTTTTTAGATCATTTGTGAATTCAGGGTATAAAAGTACAGGGGAGTACAAATTTGTATGAGATTTGGTTCACAACCGTTGCCAAAATTCAGGAAAAACGATTTACTTTCCGCAATTTTGGGGGCACCATAGCTCCGACTGAGGGCTCCGCTTTTGGAAAAGACTGTATACAACAAAAAAAGTCTTATTTTCACCCATATAACACGCTCTTGCAGTCTGGCCGTTTAACCCTGGATCACCCTGTGTGCATACATTTTTAACTTCTCTTTGCAAAAATAAAACAAAAAGGCCGGAATGTCTCTTCTTTGAAAAAAATGACTTATTTTCAGAAGTTCTTGAGCAAAAAAACTGATGAATAAAAATTTGAATTAGACTAAAAACGGCATGAGGATGACCCTCACAAAATCAGACTGCATGCATTGGACAACTTCATTTATCCTCCTCATTTTACTTCAAAGCTGGAAAAAGCTTTATTCTTTGATCCTACATTAAATTCAGTGGCGAGGGGTGAATGATCGATTATCGATATTTCCCCATTTGAAGCTAATGTAAGAATCGATTGTTAAGGTGACCGTTGCGGACACCCTGTTTATCAATTTTTATCCATAGGTTTAAACGGTAGACCAGTCTCTGTATCGCCAGAGTACGCCACGCCACTGATTACAATTCCCACGAAAAGTCAATGCAAATGAGAGGTTACGCGACTTACCTCAAACGGAGCCTCTCCATGATGCTTATGTATGCGGAAGCTACAAATATCAGCACCAATACCCCGAATAATCGGGGTAACCTCAACTAGCGTCTCATTCTCTTTGACCAGCCCATGGTAACCTTTCTCGGGCTCTGCTATATCCAATCGTGGCTCTGTAACAAAAAATCAAATCATTTGCATAAGAAGTTGGTCACAAGAGTAATAGAGGAAAAAAATAAGTACAAGGAAAAAAGTACGTAAGTGGGACCGGGGGATCACTGTTTATTCAGTACAATACAGTTATTATGAGTCAAACCGCTAAGGTAAAAACACCGTCCTTTCAGCGTTCAAATATTCGAGCTTAGTCCGTGAGGTTCTCGAGTAAACTTATTTTTCCTGGAGGAATTCTTTAGTTTTGGGAGGTATACCGAACTTACAAAATCCGTGCTATTTCAGTGCATCCGTGCATTTTCCGAACAGTAGCAGGGTGTCTACTGGTGCCATGTCATTCAATTTTTTTGCTTTTTCAGTACCTTTTCCTTGCTTTTTCTTACTTTTCCGAAAATTTCTTTTTTGCCGATACTCAAAAATCCTTGCTTTTCCTTACCTTTCCCTCACTTTTTTCTTACCTCACACGCATTTTTAACTATATTCGGATTGGCAAAGTGGAATGACGGCATGACGAAGGAATAAACCGAAAAACACGAGGAATCGAACCGGGATGTTGCTACATGGATTGTGTTAGGAGCAGTAGGAAATCGCACACGGCCAGGGCTACTTTCTCCAGATTGTCACAAAAATCACGAATTTCCGTACCTTTGTATCGAAAATCCGTGCCTCTTCCATATTTCCGTACCGACCTTCCGAAATCCGTGCATTTTCGGTGTATCCGTACTTGATCCATACAGTAGACACTCTGCGGTCCCTGTGCATCTAGACATTCACTCCATCATTTATCATGTTTTAAAGTTTGCGAAGCTCCGTGTTGCGAAAGATCTCGCTGTTCGTTCGGGGGTAAAGCGTCGGGAGGCATGACACTGACGACGGAGGGAAACAGTAACTCAAAACGGCAGAAAACGAGCGCCGCACAGTGGATCGAGTCAATAGGAGAGGCCGGACAAAATTTGGCAACTTAAAACGCTTCAAACTCCGTTCATACAAAACTTTGAGGTTCTAAAAGTGGTTCCATTTACTTCCTCGTGAAATTTTCTACCTGTGGTACCCCTTGAAATGTAACAAGTGACGAAATAAACACAAAAATTTGCGGTTATAGTAAAAAATTCCATGCTCAACCTCTCTAATTGACTCGACCCAGTGTGCGGCGGCCGGGACGGGAGTAGGGAAGCGAAAACGGGGCTCAAAACAGCGGAACGACCGCCAACGAGAAGTTGAACGCGCGCTTATGCAAAATCTGATAGGGGCTTTTTCGGGGAGAAAATGGAATTCGAAATGGTTGGAGTCGCGGTTATCTTCGGCCTCGGGGGCCTTGCATAATAAACAGACTCCTCTCCTCCTCCTCGTCCAACCCCAATTTCTTTCCGCCCCCCGCCGCGCCGGGCGGAAGGGTTGAAACAACTTTAGCCCCCAAACGCGAGATGACCGACAAAGCCTCGAGTCCGGAGTAGTGGGTTAAAAAGTGAGTGGTGCACGCTACCACTTACCACTCGGGCTTCCTGGCATGTTCACTCTTCGGACGTCCCCCGTGACGCAAACGAGGGGGGACGCGACGCCCCGTTTCCCAGCGCGCAAGCCCCCCCCCCCCNACCCGGTCTGGAAAACCCGCCGCACAGTAGCGCGAACCAATTGAGGAGGGCGGACATAAAATATAATACTAAGAGCACTGGAAAAAAAACACATTGGATCTAGGGTCCAGACAAGAGAAAGTACTCTTGATTCAATCAGAATCTAGCGTAAATCAAGAACCAAGCCTCTTAATTTAAGCGGATTTCGTTGTAATTCAAGCAAAAATCCGATTGAGTCAAGAGTATTTTTTCTTGTCAATGTTTTCACGAGTCTGGACTCCTGTGACTGTGTTTTTTTTCCCAGTGATTGTGAAGTTTGTTGGTTAAATCTTCAAAATTGAAATTTGAAAAGGTGCTGCTAGAGTGCATACAATTTTACGAGAAGTCCTACGGCTCCAAGATTCTTGGCGCAATCGAACCGACGGGCAGTGTATTGCGTCGATATGTAAAAACTTTCGGCAGATTTTGAATTTTTGCCAAAAAAAGGGCGATGGCTCCAATCCTATACACATGAGCCTGAAGAGTCATGCTCAGCCATGAAATAAGCAGAATTCAGAGGAATGAAGACAGAAATCTTCTTAGAAAAAACGTCGGGTTCGATACGAAGTCCGCTTATTGTATCGAGAGGAAAATTTTTTCACGAAGAATTCTGCCTTTATTTCTCTAGATTTTGCATTTTTCTTGGTCGAGGATGATTCTGTCGGCTCATGCGCAATGGTTTATCATCCTTTTTTTTTTGGCTAAAAAGTCAATATCTACCAATATTTTTTACTTGTTCGATTCGATATATCGCACAGCAATTCGATCAGGGCAAAAACCCGGGACGAATCACCTTGACAAGGATAGAGAGGCTTTCAAAGTTGACATCTCATACTCGACCACTCCGATCGGCTGGTTCCTCTACTGTGCGCCACCTCTTTCCCCGGTCAAACCTCCGGGTTTATTGTTTCGAAATCCGCTTGAGAGCCTCAGCTGTGCCCTGCAGTCCCTGCGGTAATCGCATGCTAGCTGAGCCACGAGAAAATTCCATCACCCTCCGCTCTGAGCAATCGACACTGATACTAAGATTTTAAGTGGACTCGAGACTCTTTCGATATGGCTAGGAGGACAGCCTGCGCTGAGGTGAACACTTAATCGGCTACAAGTGTGACGCCCTCACTGTCCAGTTGTCGAAAGTTCGATAAAAGCTAAAGCTCAACTTTTGTCATTTTCGGCGCGCAGATTTCAGAGTAAAATAGACTTCTCCCTTCTTTGGTTTACTCCGAGATTGTCCAAATAAGAGTGGTCTGCGAAGAACCTAGACCTCTAGTAAAAAAATGCCCTCCGAGCAAAGAAAGTTTAGCTTTAATCTAAAAAAATGTTTATTCGCCATTTTTCAGTGCAAGCCACTTGGCGCGAGCTAAAACCCCGTTTATTCTCGCCGGGAATGATGAGAAATAGCTACTGAAGATTGGTCGCGATGAACCGGTCCCACAGCCATAATACGAGCGCGAAATGAATTAATAAATGCCCCCGATTAACGCCCCGTTTTCGTAATTGGATTTGTTCGATTAAACACGGATCGGTGCCCCTGGCGCGCCCCCGCCCCCCACGCAGGGCGGGCAAATATAAGTACAAAACAAAGTTTATCCGCGAACTGGGAGTCATAGCTTTCAATAACTATGAATTCGTTATGAGCGACCCTCGAAAGCGTCGACGCAGACTTGGAGGGGGGCGGGGTGGGGGAGAAAAAGAGGGGGGTCGGGGTGGAATAAAGAATCACCTCCACTCCAGGGTGGGATGCTCGATCACAGCCGTGCACGGAGAGAAATCACATTAGTTACATCGCGGGGGAAACGTTTACTTTCTACATATCAGATGGCACGGAGTAATAATTTTCACTTGACACTTTAAGCGAGCAGTTACACCTGTCATAAGCGTTGCAGTCTCGACTGGTCATGTTTCATCGCCCAGGGAAAAAGGGAGGTGTTTGCATTTCGGGGATTTCGGGGAGAGGTCGATGACGCGGGCGGCACGGACGTTTCTGTCGTCGATTCTCTCGGATTCGATTCGGTGTGTTTGTGAGGAAGGACATGCTTCAGAAACGGATTTAAAATTGAAGCATTTTCCAGTAAAAAGGCGTATGAGACTCCCAGTGATGCTAAGATTGTGCAACGTAATTTTGTACACTGGAAAGAAAAACACATTGGATCTAGAGTCCAGACTCTTAAAAACATCGACAAGAAAAAGTACTCTTGATTCAATCAGAATCTAGCTTAAATCAAGAACCAAGCCTCTTAATTATGCGGATTTCGTTTTGATTCCAGCAAAAATCCGATTGAATTAAGAGTATTTTTTCTTGTCAATGTTTTCAAGAGTCTGGACTCTAGATCCAATGTGTTTTTTTTTTCCAGTGTAGTTTGTACGTGAATTATACGACAGTTTTGCTATAAATTTTTCCCTGAATCTGCTCGGAGTTTTTCCTCATTATTGTACGGGAGTAAGTCGACTGTGAATAAAATTTATCTGCTACAAATTCTATAAAAAACTGCACAATCTTAGCAGCATTGCAAGTCTTTTAACGAAGACGTCCTCAATTATACGCGACAGAACAACGAATCTTACGGATCGTTTTGCATACTTAAACGAAATAGCGGGCGAATTACAGAAATTGATGAACACGATAGAGAAAGAGGACAAATAGAATATAGAAATCCTATTGTGGTTAAAACGGTTGGTTGTTGTAGATTATAAACTAAGGGGGAAAATGATGGACGAATTATATATGGGGTTCCTCGTAGGTTGCCAGTAGTTAGTCTGTAACTAACCTCTTATAATAGATTTTTGGATTTAGCCAAAGTATTGGATTTGGGTCATTGAGGAGGTGCTTATTAGTACATGAATTTGTTTATTTTATTTACCTTATTAATTTCAACACATGTGTTATTATCAAAGGTATTCAATTACTTGGAAATTTGAAATCGTAAAATTATTATCACACATACATAGCACTCGTTTACATTCTGTTGTCGTTTTCACAGCTGGTCAATTTTAATCAAATTAAACGTTGACGTACTAAACACTATTCATCCCTTGAGAAAAAGTCATAGAATGTAAACTGTCTGAGAATTGAGATCTTTATTATTCTGCAGTGCATTTTAATGTCGCTGACTCGTCTGGTTTACTGGCTGATGGCCGAAACAAATGGTCACAAAAAGGTTCCATTCGTTACATTTTTTTTTAAAATTGTTATCTACGCTGAGTTTACGACAACTGGGAAAACATAATTCTCGTTAATTTCGCTGAAAGAACACGAAATTCGATTTGCATGGTTGAAAGACACATCTCCTTGAAGTAGGATCTAGCAGAGGGATGATCGAGTGAATGGGTGATCGTCGCATCGATCTTAAGTAAATCGAATTTTGTTCCAAAAAACGCATCAAAATCACTTT